ACAACAACTACATTTAATACTTTGTTTATAAGCACAAATGTTGCCACGACATGTTGTTAGCATTGGCAACACTTTTAGTAAGTAATTTTTTACGGCAACGACGAGTATTAAGTATTTGTTGTTTGTACACTTGTTGCCAATGATCTTAAAAAGGGATTTATTATATTTTTGTATTTCTTTTTTATTGTTATTGTTGCTTTTGCTATGTTGTTTTATCAATAAATTTATCTTTTTTGTTGTTACAATTACACACACACACCCATTAAATTTATAAGTCATAATAATAAAAGCATACTTTTTTTATTATAGTACATTAATTAAAAGTACAAGTTAACTTGGAACTTTCCCTTTACAAATCATCATTACACAAAAAAAAAACTTAAAGAAAAAAGCAACAACAAAATATGTCGGTCGTTAACGTCGCCAAGCAACCTTTTTTACTACTTCACACAACACAAACACTTTGTTCAGCTTTAAATTTTTGTTATTTTATTAAAATCGTTATATATTTCGTAAATTTCGTTTCTTTTTAGTAGCTTTATGTTAATTTTATAAAATTTTCTTATATTTTAGCATTAAAATACACTTTTTCTTCATTTTAAATATTCTTACGCGTTGACAATTTGCCTTTTTAACTCTAGTGAAAATTTAATGATGATGACAGCGTTTAGTTTAGAGAGCAATGAATGAAAGACTATTACTCCAGCAACATGTTGCTGTGTAAGTTAAGCAATAATAAAGCTAGAAACATTTCGATACTCGTTTTGCATATGGCAATGCTGTAGAGGAATTTTTTTCATTGCTTCTTTTTGCTTTTTTCTAGTATGTGTATGTTTGTATATTTTACTTATTTTTGCACCGGATTCTTTGTTTAAAAACACTTGTTTTGTTTATATTTTTATAATCGGCGTTGTTTATTATTGTTTAATTTTAGTTTATTTATTTAAATTTCTTTTTTTTTGGCTTATTTATTGCGTTAAAAGAGAACTCTTTGAGAAAACTCTTCTCTCTAGCGAGCGATCGTATACCGTATTCTGTCTGTCATTTCTATTGACTGGCGATGCCAACCTTTTTATAATAGGAATTTAGATGGGGTGACAGTTATTGGTTGACACTTGATTCTTTTTAGTACTTTGGTATTTAAGTGGTGAATTTAAAGCGATTTAATTATTTTCAATTATTAAAATATGTATTATTTTTTAGATTGTTTATTATTGTTTTCAGAGATTTTCTGCTTTTTTTCAAAATTCCTTTAATAATAAATGTTTATATTACTCATTTACTTTAAGAATAATTCCGTTTTAGGGGTATAACCGATTTTTCATATTTTTGGCATTTTGCATACTTAATAAGAATAAGCTTGATAAGAATGATAAAAAATATAATTTTTGGCATTATATTCCATTGAATGAAGATAATTCGTTTCTTATACAAATGAATTTAATAAAATGAATTTTTCTATTACAAATTTAAAAGGGAAAAATTCTGAATGCTTTTGAATAATATAACAAAACCTTCATCCAATCCATGATATTCTTCTTGTAATAGATTAAATTCAAACGAAATTTCATTATTCAGATGAAATGAAACCTTCCATTGGAATTTATTCATTTTGAAAGCTTTCTAAATTATATCTCGGAATTAAACTATTCCCAGCAAAAAATAATTGATGTCATACTTTACAAACGACATCTTAATCACATCTAAAAATGCGATTGCATACTTTTCGCTTTTATAAACCAAACATATCTTCACAAATGAAAACACAGTTAAAAATGAGAAGAGATGTAGAAAAGTCACTACAAATTTTGATGAAAAACCAATGAAATTTACATAAGCGTTTCATTGAAAGAATGTGGTTTATTTTTGACATACAAATATCGGATTTTTACAGCTTCTAAAGATAAGATTAGATGTAGTTCAAAGTTGTCAAAAATGAACAACTTCCCTCCAATGACACGCTAATGTAAAATTCATAGGTTTTTCACCTGAATTTGAAGCACTTCGGGTTACTAGTTCCCAGCAAAAAAATTTTGAAGTTGTTAAAGAAGAAGGGATATTTTCATGATTTCTTTAGTAAGTATTCTATTTAATGCGTTTTAAATACATGCCTAAATTCTAATAAATTTGTCATCAGTGAAGGCATGAAAAATGCACCCAAATTCACTCATGTAACTCCACTATAGGAATTGTAATATTTTACTGTAATTTGGTATTCTCTTAGGAGATTTAACGAAAACGTGCATTTCATACAATAAAGATTAAAAATGACATTAATTTTTTTTTTAGATTTTTGTTAAAATTAGTAATATTAAGTCCATTAATAAGAGAAGGAAAAAACCAAGACTGCTTAACGGATTTTAAAACACAATGGGTATTTTTCCTCTGCATGAATTTAAATCCAATCAAAATCAGTTAGTTATGTTTTATCTTATTCTATTTTTGTCAATATCACTCAAAAAAATTATTTGAATATTGATAATTAAATCGAAATACCATTAATGCATTTTTAAATAAATATAGTGCACCAATTAAAATTCGCTTGAGAATCATCGAATATTCATTGGTTATAAGAACTCATTTAAATGACGAACTATTTTTGCAAATACGAACCCATGCATGCCAATGACACGCTAATGTTAAAATCATGCATGTTTCCCCTAAATATGAACCAGTTCATTATCAGTTCAACCCATACATTTACTACTTTTTTTGCACGTCTTTTTTTGCTGGGCTGTGATGAAAATTCTACATCTTTTTCCACACTTTTTTTGCTGGGTTGTAGTTAGAAAATTAATACTTTCGAAGAACGCTAATTCGGCAAGCAGGGGATTTATTATTATTATTATTATTTTTTTTTTTTTGATATAAAGTTTTACAATCCAGGGATGGCTCCTTAAAACGAAATTGAAACTCGAAGGAGCTTTTTTCGAAACTAATTATAAAGTTACCCAGTAGTATATAAAACATATGAAAATAATGCTTAATAGACCAAAGTATAGTCTTCCGAGACAGATTCATGTGATCTCAATATAATAAAATCTGAATTGATTAACCAACATTGTTGCTTCAAAACTCCCTTTTTTGAGTTTTTAAATATCCACAGATAATCTTTAACTATTTGCAAGCGCAGCTTTTTATAATTTCTTTGTTTTTTTAATAAAATAAAACGTTTTATGGAAATATATAGAAAACATCAAGCATGAGAGAAAAAAGCATACAAACCTTTTCTTAAAAATTTTCAAAACGCATTCTGGCATACAAAATCAAACAAAACAAATTAAAAAAGTATCAAAAGTTTTTTAAACAACTTTATTAATAAAAAAATTAAATAAAATAAATCTTTTGCCATGCAAAAACGTTTAAATATAAAAATATAAAGCTAAGAGTTGGATAAAATACAACTTTTAAAGCTAAAAATTAAAGCAAATTTAATTAAAAAAAATTAATGAAATGCATATAAAAATAAAAAGTTCTTTTATAGATTTATAAAAAAATAAAATAAATTTTAATATAAAAATTATAAAAAAGGATTTAAGGTATAAAACTACAATATATGTGGCTTAGTTTTTCAAACAGTAAAGGATTGCTTTAGCATAATGGAATCTTTCGATTTTTTATATTTAAAAGTTTTAATAAGAATTTGGGAATGTTCTCTTAAAGGAATGGTTTTATAAAGTTAATTATTTAAAATATTAAATTCTTCAAAGAATAAATTCATTCGAAAGCATTATTGTTTAATCTGTATCAGGCATGGAAAGTTCATTACTATTGTATTTTTTTCAGTACTTTTGCCGCAGTACTCCCATGACATATTAAGTACATTTTTAAATTTTTTCCATGATAGGATTTTCAATAGACTAGTCAATAGATTAGTCAATAGTTTAGTCAATAGGCCAGTCAAAAGTCCATAGACAATCCAACAGCATAGTTCACAGACAAGTCAATAGACTAGGCAATAGTCTAGTCAATAGACTAGTAAATAGATTAGACAATAAAACATTTTAAAAAACAATAGGCTAGTCAATAGTTCATAGACAAGTTAACAGTATAGTTTACAAACAAGTCAGTAGATTAATCAATAGACTAGTCAATAGTCTACAGACAAGTCAACCGTCAATAGTCCACAGACAAGTCAACAGTATAGTTTAAAGACAAGTTAATAAACTAATCAATAGACTAGTCAATAGGCTAGTCCATAGAATAGTCAAGAGACCAGTAATCAATAGACTTGGCAATAGACTAGGCAATAGTCGAATAAATAGTGCACAGACAAGTCAACAGTATAGTTCACAGACAAGTCAATAGACTAGTCAATAAACTAGTTAATAGACTATTCAATAGCCTAGTGTATAAAATAATTAATAAACTAGTCAATAGACTAATCAAACGTTCTTAGACAAGTATAGTTCACAGACAAGTCAATAGACTAAAAATTGGATTAGTCAATAGACTATTCATTAGAATACTCAATAGACTATTCAATGGACTAGTCTATAGACTAATCAACAGACTACTCAAAAGACTTTGAAATGTAATTCAGTACTTTTAATTCTATAAAATATTATTTTTAGAAAATTTTAGTACCACTTCCAAATTTAAATTTTCCATGCCTGATCTGTATTATATGCAAAAAATCGAGCACCGAAATAAAAAAATTAAAACTTAATACATATTAGTTACAAAATAAAATTATAAAAATCGCTTTAACGAAATAAAAATAGAAAAAATTAAAAGAAAATAATACTAATAATTAAGTACATTGTTAAAAAAAAAAAACTTATAAAAATATGTAAATTTTTTTGGCATAACATTCTTTGTAGCAAAATGCATATAATTAAATTTGTATTTGGTATAAAGAAAAAACTTACTTTCTATCAAACTGTCATGTTTTCCTTTTAGGACTCATTTTTTGCATTTGCATTTAGCACACAACATTTTCTTTTTACAAACAACAAATAAAACATTTAAAAAAACATATAGACTTCATAGGGACTTACAATATTTACATCTGTATTTCCTGACAATGTTTGACGACCATTGTTCTGCTGCTGCTGCTGCTGCTGTTGTTGTTGTTGTACATCTATTGCCGCTTGTGTTGCTATATTAGCAGCCTCTGTTTGTTGTTGTTCTTTTTTCACTTCAGCTTCTGCAGCTACTTTAATAGGTTGATT